GAGGGCGGGGCCCGGGGTGATCATAGCATGCATGGGTACACACAGGAAGGCGGGCGAGGATGTGTGCATGTGATGTATCATACATGAAATACACCACCGATTGCGCACCTCATCCATAATTGCCCACAGGGCCAATTAAGCTCGTATTGTTCAATTCTTTTATTGGGGCTCCCTTCCTCATCTCCCTCCCCATCTCCTTACCCCGCACACTCACATCGGCACACTTCACAACAGAGGGGTATCTGGGTCCCCGTACTTCGCACACAACACAGTTGTATCATAATACGCTCGCCGTACTTATTCCACTTCTCTCTCCCGCATCTGACCACATCTGGTTGGGCTGGCTTTGTTTGTGGATTTGTGGGTACGGGAAAAACACTGTATCAGTGCACCACTGTCATTATTGATTTGACCCATTATTTGAGTTTAAAAGTTGGCGGGTTGTTTCTCCCGTCAAAGACTTCCTGTTGGGCAGGAATAGCACAGCTCCGTGCAACTCCGGTCAGAGGGTCGCCGCTGACGGGGATGGGGAGTAGCTCGGCAATCCAGTTTTCACCAGCGAGGGCGGTTACCGTGGGGTTTGCAGACGTTTCCCAGATGTGAGTTCGGTTTGGGAGGGGACTGAGCTGGAGCAATGCCATGGCTGGGGAGAGACGATGGCAATCCGTGGTTCTCACCCGTGGCAGTCCCTAGTAGTTCATCGAGCGCATTTTTGTCCAGCTGGTAGCCATAGCCACCATCGCCTTCAAAGCCCACTAAAAGCAGGTCCACCTCGATTGGCAGTACTAAAGCCTGTTGCGAGCATCGGAAGAAACGTTATGAAGATGTAGAGAGTGGGTCCAAATATCGGTGTTAAAATTGAATGCAGTCGCTGCTGTGCGAGGGCAGTTGACGGGGGAGAGGCGAAGATCAAATGTTACCATGGCAGCCGCACGTACCCGAGAACGCTCCTCGAGGAAGTGCTTTGTTGCTGATTTGATCTCCGCTCGTATAACGTCATGGATAGCATCCCAACGTTTACCGGCGCTACGCTTTAGATGTCGCTGTGCTTTGGTTGGTACAGCGCTTCCGGGTCCGCTTGCTTCCTTTGCAAATGATCTAGTTACTGCAGCTACGGATAAAAGCAGCAAGTTTAGAAACACTGCCTGAAGCGCCATGATTCAGTGCAGCTTTAATAGCGTTGCAGTGATACGACCTCTCCCATTCTCTAGACACATGCGCAGCATAGGGAAGATTATCCCTGGTGGTTTTGATGCAGCTGCAGGAGCGTTCACAGTTGGGGATAGGCGCAGCGGTTGCAAAAAACTGAAGTGTCGTGCGATCAACCACAACGGAACCCTTCTGTAGCCACCAAAGACGATAGTCTGCATCAGTGGGTACTCTTCACGGGATCTGCACGTCAGGATTAAGCATGCTCTTAAACTTACTGGGTATTCTTCGTACAGGATTGTTTACTTCGCTGGTGAAAGCATGAAAAACGCCTTTGTTGCGCCTAGAATGCTTTGATGTAACGCTCACGCTTCAACTGCTGGTATAAAACTAACGCAGATGCCCTTGCATAGGACGACAAAGAATTCTGCATTCGTGAGATGTCCACTCTAGCAGGCTCTACCTAAATTAAGCCCTTTATACATTATTTGACAGAACATTTAGGTGTATGGATGAGGATACCGTCGCCCTGGTTGGAATCAGGCCAACCGGTGCCGAGGCTCCTGGGCCCACGCACAATAGCTCAGCCGCAACCTCCTCCCAGGAAGTTCCAACACACGATGTTCTACATCAAACTGACGTCCTAAACAAAGTCTTCTGCTGGTATGAAATATTTACGGAATTTCCCTGCCTCCCTTACCACGACCCAAATATCCCCCACGCGCAATTGCATGTTACCCGACACGACAGCTTTCCTTACACCCAATCCTCTGATCCTCAACCTCTTAACAGGCTTCGTCGTGTATCGGACCTCGCAAACGCGGCCATGGTGTGTCGATCCTGGTGTGCAGCCGCGCGCGACGACCAACCGTGGCAAAACATATACGTACGACAGTACGGCGAACCTTCCCCCTGGGAGACTTGCACCAGGTACGTCTTCATAGATGGCGCGGTTGGTACTGCGTGATGGAAGGGTACGGGACTACAGCCATGGTAACAGAGCAATCGAAACCCTGACCCCCCGAAACACACTCTCCTGGTGGGCTGTAAACGCAGTTATCGCGAGCAGTGTGCTCGCCGAGTCGGTATCCGCAGACCTTATCCGTCACCGTCGCTGCCCGGCGCGCCCGCGCCGGGCGCTACGCTGGAGGCGTACGACAGGCAGTACGGTGTACGGACGTTGACAGTGTCGTACGATCCTGTTTCCCGTGCGCTGGTACGGGCGGTACGCTCGTGGTCACTAGTGGGTCATGACGACCTGGTGGCGGTTCAGGCGATTCCCCTGGAGCCCCATCCGCCCTCCTCTGCGGCGGCTGCAGCGTCACCGGAAACAGCAGCGGCAACGGGAGCTATAGAACCCGTATCAGATGGTACGACAGCTCCTGCCGCTGGCGGTGGCGGTGGCACCGATGCCGACGTGTCGATTGGCAGCCTCTGGCTGTGCATGTTGACGCCTGACGGTCGATCTCCGGCGACGCGACCGTCGACATTGCCGGATGTCGCGTCAGCAGCAGCGGCCGCGGACGGTCTAAGAGCAGTCGCCGCGAGTAAATGCGTCGGGGATGTTGGCGGCAGCGGCGGCGGCGGCGGCGGGGAAGGAGAAGGAGAAGGGGTTATGCACCTGACGGAGGAGAGCGTACGGCAAATCGCGTCGCTTGCGGAGCTGCTTCCGACGGTCATGTGTTGCGGCGGCGGCCTATTGTACTTGCCAGCAGGACCCATGGGTCACGGCCTGGCGGTGTGGGACCTGACAACAACATCAACAACAATAACAACAATAACAACATCAACGACGATGACGATGACTGCCTTGTCCTCGGCCACCGGAGGTGGCTGTTCCAAGACTTGTTATCCTTCTCCGCTTTTGAAGAGGAGCGTGACGGCGGCGGCGTCGCCGCTGCCGCTGCCGTACTGGTTGATTTCGGAGCCGCATCCGGGTCGGCTTTTGGCGGTGGCTGCGGATGGCGAGTTGGCGGTAAGCGGCTGCGACGGGGGCCGACTGTGCTTCTGGCAGGGCCGGCAGCGGGTCGCGCTGGGAGTGGCGGACATCAGCGACCTCACTCAGTTGCCTGTTTTGGACATCTTTCCGATCCCCGCTGGTAAGTAGTCCTTTAATAAGAGAAATTTGCTTTGTTATTTCTCTGAACGAGTATTATTATGCACATTATTAAAACAGTTACAAAGATAGATGATGCCGTATACCTTGCGTGGATCCATGTCGGGCATTTCGGATTTAGGATCCACTCAAGCTGGAATCTATTTATTGCTCTCCCTGCTAGTTTTCGCAGTGATGACGAACGTTTTCGCCATTTACAACACCCTAAGTGTCGATCAGCGGTCCAACCCGAATTGCTTTTTAAGGAAAGGAAATCCAAATCCAAATCGCAGCCCGAGCCGGATCCAGGCGGCACCGATTATGGATCTCGGTGTGCGAGGCCTCGGGCCTGGCGGCGGTCGTGCTGACGTCACCGCAGGCGCCAGTCGTACACATCTTCCGCGCTGCGCCGCGAAAGCGAGGAATTAGCTACAGCGGCGGCGGCGGCGGCGGTACCGACGGCGGCGCGGAGTGCTCTGGCGGAGTGGGGCAACGTTTGGCGACGCAGATCTTTGGCGGCGCGCCGAGCAGCGGTTTGTTGCTGTATCGGCGGCAGATGCTGACTATGCAAGTGATGTGCAGCGATGTCATGGGGGTGAGTGTCGCAATCAAAAAAAGGCTGAGGACCGACCCCACCACACGGAGCCCTCAGTTGCCGGCTGGGGGGGTGGGGGTGGAAAGGGGGGAGACTGCCCCATGGGTTTGGTGAGTTTGGGGGTGGGTGGGTGTGCAGAAAGGAGTTCGGCGTAGTTCAGAGATAGTGGTCCTGATGGCCGGAGTGAAGGAGTAAGTGGCAGACATGTACCTGGGCGTGTACGGCAATATGTGTGTATGTATGTGGGTTCACTTGAAAGGTTTTAGTGTATGTATGGGTTACGTTGAGGGGCTGGGGCGAAAAGAGATCCAAAAGTAAGGCCCTTGAAAGGAAGGCTCCCTGAAACCCCTGGTGGAATATTCTACAGCAGTGTTTTACCCTGATGCCAATATTGCTATTCCTTAATATTAATGCCTTCTCCTCATTGGGGCATTCAACACAAATTTGCCTGCCTTGTAGTGGTAGTGGTAGTGGTAGTGATAGGCACGAGGTTACCACTCATAGGGTGCCATATCCGCGAACTTCCCCTCCTGGTACTGGCGGTGCAGCGCTAGTGCAGCGCTAGTGCTAGTCCGGTCGTAGTCTACAACTCCCCTGTTGCGTAGTAGGTTTGCGCGCCGGTATGGACCAGTCGGCACACTTTTTCGGGTTTGTATTTCCTGCAGCGCCAGGCGATGTGCCCTTTGGCTCGGCTCCTTCTTTTCTCCCAGGCATAGAAGTTTGGTAGCCCGCCGCTGTAACAGTGGCAACATTAATATTCTCCTGCCCAATATGTTGCCTGATCAGGCACGCTTTGGCGGCAGCGGTGGCAGCTCCGTGCGCGTGACCTTGGCGATGTGCCTGTGGAACCTGCCCATGGAAGGGGAGGAGGAAGGGGGGGAGGCGGGGGAGGAAGAGGGCGGTGGCGGCGGCGATGAAGTTGGCGGGGGCCACTGGTCTGACTCCTGGACTCGGCTTTTTTCCAGCAGGTTTGTCTGTCTGTTTATCTGTCTATATGTTTATTTCTTTGTGTGTAGGAGGAACCCCGTAAATGGACAGATATCGGACCAACTAAACCATGCCTGTGTGTGTACGTATGTTTGTCACATGATTTTGCTGTCGATGAGGACTCACGCGCAGTTACAGATGATCAACATTCACATGACTGAGGACCAGTTGGAGTACGACAAATAAAGATAATTTAGCAATTGGTCTGCTGGGGTTCCCAGGGGCCTTCTCGGCCATTTCTCCGCTGGTTTGTTGGTTGAGTGTCTTCAGCTCCAGCACGCGCACCTGTTTGGGTTGCCTAATCAAGCTTTCGTTAGTGTGACCGGCCGTACATCCCCCCCCCGGGCGCATAAACCCGCTCCCCTACCTGCCTTCACGCCCGCGGCCCCCACCTACCAACATACGCTCACATACTACCCACTAATGCCGACACACCACTCAAACGCCCTTTTTGTAAAGCTCCCCCCGCGATGTTGCCTAATTAGGTTGCAGCTGGAGCACCCACGCACATTGGTATTGGGTCGCATGCGGCCCGTGATGGCGGCTTCGGAGGATCTGCTGCTTCTGACGGTGCCGCACAACGTCGGGGGCCGGCCGCCGCACAGCCAAGTACTCGCACTGGAGCTGCCGCCGCCGCTGATACCGCCGTCAGGAGCGACCCGCGGGTCATTATCCTCATTATCCTCAGACGAGGAGGAAATCGAGGAGGAAGAGGACGACGAGGAGGCGGATGGGGAGGGGGATGGCATAAGGGGCTTACAGTTGTCGTCAAAGGATGAAGGCGCTGGCAGTGATGGATGCCGTGCCGGAGTGGAGCAGGAGCGGGGTAGCCGTCGTGTACGGCATGTACGACATGTACGACAGCCTCAGTTGCATGGGGGCTTCAGCGGGATGATGGTGATCCCTGAGGAGGAGCGGCTGCAGTGGATTGAGGTGGTGGAGGTGCGTGAGGCGTGTGTATGTGGGGAACGTGCGGGAAGGGGGTGTCGTGTCGGGGGATGTGTGTTTGTGTGTGTTTTGGGGTCGTGGAGGACGCGTGGAGGACGCGTGGGGGTCCGGGAGGGGGAAAACACTATGCGCAGTCAGACATAGTACCCGGGACTGCGGATGAAGGATTGTCTGGATGTGATTAGGCGGTCCCACCATCCTAAAGTAACGGCAGAAAACCCAGATTGCGGCATGCGCATGTGCGTATGTATGTATGTACGTGTCTGTGTGCGGGTGTCCTTCCCCCCTGCAGGATGCAAATGAGGTGGTCTCAGCAATGGTGCCTACTCCGCGACATTTGGCACTGCTGTCAGAGGGCGGCAGACTACGGTTGTACGGCATTATTCCCGAGGATGTCGTACCATGGACTGCCAAGGTCGCCCTGGCGGGTGGAAGTTAGCTTTTTCTGAAGCATTTAGTAATTAGCTACTTAGCAATTTGCTTCCCTTGCTTGCTCGGTTTGTTGAGATAGAGGTATATTATCACACCTTCACAAGTTGTACACACGCGCCGGGTGATAGGGCATAGCGATGATGACTTAAATTCGGGGGGGGAACTTAATCGCCAAGGGGGGGTGGGGGTATTTGCCCCCACTCCGATAAAAACACAACGAAGGCTTCGGGGACCGCAAATGGACCCCGACGGACAGACGGACAGATAGACAGACAGACGGACGGACAGACGGGTTTACAGCCACGTTAAAGTGTGTAGACCGGACGTGTGGCTTCCGAGCGACGGAGGGCAGCGGTGTGTGTGTAGGAAGCCAGCGTTTCCATTTTAATAGCTGGTTCGTTCAGTGGCATTATTCTTGGCATTGTTGTTGGCTTTATTATTGGTGTTATCTGAGGAGTGCTTTCCAGGATAACCACAATGATCAGTAGCTTCCAAGGGTGAGCGGTGTTGAGGCAGGGCGACTAGCGAGCCGAAGACATATAGAACGGGGCCTTAAAACTCTTGCGACGAAGGGGTATTGTTGAAGAAGGGCGAAAGAAATGTTGTTTCCCTAAATGTTTTAGCGTTGTAAGCTTCGCGGGGTTGTTCGGTTCTGCTTAGGTGTGTGCCCTTTGGCGAACACCTGCTGCTGGGCAACACATGTCGGTACGGTCGGTACAACACGTATTACCAAGTGCCCAAGTCAAATGCCAAGAGGGTAGACTTACCAAGCTGATGAAACAATTGCTTTGGAAAATGCTTATCTATGAACACGCTGCGAGTTATATCTCCACTTGCATATTTAAAGGATTGAGCTAGGCAGCGTTGGTTGTCCATAACTCTCCATGCGAATTGGCTGAGTAGCGCCACCTTCCATGCCCCAAAAGTTGGCGCCAGTATCCACGTTACCTGGGCACTCGTAAACAGTTTATGGCAAGCCCGTTGGAGCCGCCCGCTGGATTTCTGCGCCAACGTCCGAGTAATGTTCAACCGAAGTTCCGTTGCGTCTGGTTGAACCGCAAGCCAATCCAACCCTAAAATTTTGCAGTATTGCACCTCGATTCCAAAATTTAACAGTACGATTTCTCGTTGTGCTTTGCAAAGGATCTGGCTCAAATCTACAGTCGCACACAGCCGGTTTTCAGCCCTTGAAATTTGTATGTTTGCGCACCTCTTGCGAAAGGATCGGCGCTGTTTTGCTTTCCGAGCTCGTTTTTGTATAAGATAGCGCTCCTCGAACCTTATGCATAGAATTATGTACAACGCGTAACCTCCATGAGGGGGGCGCCTTTCGATAAGCCGGAAGACCCCGGGACCCACGTTCTCTGGGCTGGTCTTGGGGTGACGGGTCCCTTGAACTGGCCAAAGTTCGACCCATACCAACAAATTCATGCAGCGCGGAGCTTCGCACGCGGGTCCATTCCCGCGTCATGCGGGCCTCTCCTGGCAGGCAGAGCGGCCCTCCTGCCCGCCTTCACCCCTCGGAACCATTACTTCACGACGCCATACGAACTCGATTCTGTGTTCGAGTGAGTTCCGCACTTGCGTCCACACACTTTGCAATCCTGCTGCAACCATCCTGCACCATTGCGCCCCTCACGCACGCGTGCTAGATGCCGCCATACCGAGAGCAAATGGAACATCTAGGAAAACAGACATCGACCACAAGCTCGTTACTTTCCATAGCCGCCATGTCGTGTGTCAAAAAGGTTTCCTGCCAGAAGAAAAGCGGACGATTACCTGAACTATGCTACGTTTGCTACCCTTCCTGCTTTCCTTCTTCTCAACCCCTCTTTGGGGTTGTTCCCAACCTCCTCCTCGCCATCTCTTCCCCTGCCCCCCGTCCTCCTTCACCCCGGACATCAAGACCCAACAACGCACTTCCCCCGCACCCTCATCCCGCACCTTCGGGCCCCCATTCCAAATCGCACCGAACCTGGGACGCAGCTGGCAGCGTTATCTCTCCGCCCAGCTACGTTGGTTTCAGGCCACGCACCAAGACGCCTTTGTGCCCCGACGCCTGGTTTCGAAGCTGCTCCAAGAGGACGCGGTGGCCAACGCGGATCGGGGGAAGGTATCCAAAAGAAAGTATAAAAGTACATCCATTGCAAAGGATGCCGCTGCCGGATATCCGTCGTACGAAACGCTGGCGGCGATGTTGCGGGGGAATCGGCTGGCGGCAGTGCCGCTGCCGGGGGGCGTTACGGCGGTTTTTTCGGCGACGGGACAGATTGGTGAGGTGCTGACGTTGACTTTGTTGAGGCCCCGGAAGTCCCGGGAAGGGCGCGCGAATGCTGGTGCTGCTGCTGCGGCGGCGGCGGCGGCAGCAGCTGCAAACGACGGCGGCCCTGCCGCAGCCGCATCCGCCGCTGCCACGGCCGGCGGCGGGATTGGCCGCGGCGGGGGCGGCTGCGGCGGGGTCGATATGAATGAGGAGTGCTTGCAGGTGACAGGGACTGTTGTTGTTGTTGTTTCTGTGGCCTGCACAAGATACAGAAATACGACAAAACAGCTAATTGTTGACCAAGCATCGTCATGCCGCACAAAACCTTTATTCTTCGAATTAGGACAGCGGGAAAAAATTAAATATCTCAATAATTTGAGGGATAGAAACCCTAAAATGTAACTTCCGGGCCCTTATCCCCCCACCACCACCACCCTTATGTGTTTCCTCCTCTCTCCCGCCACCGTCCTCTCACACCGCTGGTGGCCACCATTTCGTAGATGTTTAAATTTTAAATTATTGCATGTTAAAATGTGTTTTTCCCCTTTCTCCCCCTTTTATCTTGCCGGTCGCCACTCAGGCCCTCCCAGCCGCGCACCTGTCCGTCAACAAGACGATCTGGGAAATTGCCGTGAAGGAGCATCGTACATCCGTACCGCCGCTAGTGGCTTCTGCCGCCGCTGCCGGTGCCGTACTCCGACCAGGGTCTTGGAACCTCGCCGACGTGACGGAGGCGGCAGCAGCTGATGGCGATGGGCAGCCAGCGTCATCATCAGCGTCGTTGACTTGTCGTACATCGGCTGTTTGGGTGGCGGTGCGGTGTAACTACTGCATTAACGTGGTTTTGGCTTACCAGGTGGATCCTGGAGACTGGTACGGAGGCTTTTTTTTGTTTAAGCCTTGGGGTTTTAGGGCTTTAACGGGTTTTAGGTTTTTTCGTTTTTATTATTTGGGACGAAGTTAAAAGGAAGTGTGGTTGTTTGATGGAGAAGAGGGCCCGGGCGTTGAAGGTTACCTGTGGTATATATCGGCTTGGGGTGTATGACGATGGTGGGCGCAACGTGAAGGTCAGGGTTGTAGTACTGCCGTACGGTGGGGTACGATCTCGTTACGACCATACGAAACCCTAGGACGCCCCTTTACCCCGTCCCCACTACTTTACCACCACCACGGGTTGCCCGGACGTACGGCAAGCCCCAAACAACCATTCGTACAGCCGTCCCGGATTGTCCTCCGGTGCATACTGCGTACCTCGATGTACGGCAGCCGTACGGCGGTCAAACAGAATGACACACGTACACGCCTCATAATGAATATACAACGTGTACAAGGATGTATACTTTGTAAAACCTCCGTAAAATTAAACTTCTTTTCTTGCCGTACAGGCGCAGTTGGCGCCTCGAGTGGCGGGCGACACACGTGACGCAGGCGCTGACGTCAGCAGTTGTCTGGAATGCTCATTTACCGGAATTAGCGTTCATGCTGGCGGACGGATCCACCTGGATCGCCGCCACGCACGCCGCCGCCGGCGGCGTGGCGGCGGCGCTGCGCCGCCTTGCCGTACGCCCCGTATTGCGACCGATGACGCCGGCGGTACGGTCGGGGCCAGGCGTTGTGCCGCCGCCGCCGGTGGCGGATACGGCGGCGGGGCAGGCGCTCGGGTTGCTGCCGGGGACGGGACGGCTGAGCTTGTCGTACGGTGTGTATGTGTGGTGGGATCTCGCGGAGGGGGTTTAGGTTCTTCGGTTGCAGGATGGGAGGAAGGAATTAGGGTTTCGCGGGGTTGTAGGAATCCGTAACCCAACTCTTTTGACAGCTCTTCCCCCCTCCCGCGTCGCGTCCAGCCTCTTTGAGCGTGACAGAAGTTTCGTTGTTAGTGCCGTACAGGTTTCCCGTGTGAGATGGTGTGGGTCTGCATGCGTTGTGTCGTTTGTGTTTTGTTTATGGTCAACTTTTCATGTTCATGTTTCCTATGACCCTTAGAATATATCCGCCGCTTCTAGGAATATTAAGGGTCGGCTGGTTTCTTCATTTCCTCTTCCTCGGAAGGCAGTCGGTGCTTTGGACTTCAGTTAGCAGTTGTCAGTTGGCTCTTTACTTGCGCACGATCCTTCTCCTCCTTCTCCCCACTCCTCTCCCCTCTCCCCTCTCCCCGCCCACACACCCACACACTTTCACTCCCCTCTTCCCTCCCCCTCCCCCTCCCCCTCCGTCAGGGGCTCACCCGCGGGCTCTGTTTGTGGCTCGTGGCCGGTGCCTACTCAGGGTGGACCTCAGACCGCCAGGACAACGACACGGATGCAGGTATGTACGTACGTTTGTATGTGTCTGTCTAATTATTATATATTATATGTTTTTTTACTTTTTTATCTATTATTATTTTATTCGTTTGTGTCTTTATTTTATTTTTATTATCTATTTTTTATTATTATTATTATTATTATTATTATTATTATTATTATTATTTATATGGGGGTGGGGACCGGGGGGTTGCGAGAAGAGGATTGCTGATTGGGTTCGTTTGGTTCGGTGAGGTGGTGCAGCGGCGCACGGCTGAGTAGGAGGGGTTGTTAGGAAAAGGCCATGTGATAACGACATGCAGCCGTGTCACAGATTAACAGGTGGCGAATTACATGTAGATGTACGGCATTTGCCGTACGGACTCCCTAAAAATTATTGCTCTCGTCACTGGTCAAACGGGAAATCCTCAAAATATAAAAGCCATATACGGTCCTTTTTATACAAACCCCATTCCTCGTTTTTATCCCTTCATCCACCGCCTTTCTCATTTGCGGTTGCCAGTTAATACGGTTACGGTTGAAATGGGATCCACGGCTCCGTGTTAACCATTTTAATTAGTTAGGTGCGATGAGGTTTATTTTTATTTTATTAATGGATTTAAGTCTCTCTCCTCTTGCGACGCCTGCTCATCCCCCTCCTGCCCTTCCTGACCCCGCCACTCTATCCCGATCTCCATACCTTCATTTCATTATCCACGGCCATCACCTGCCCCACCCAGCCTATTGCACTACCTGGGTAAGCGCGAGGGCAACTTTTGGGGCCTTACAACCGGCGCCTCACTGCATAAATTGCAGGTAAGGTGGTTGGGTTTGGTTGGGTTTGGTGGTTGGCAGTTGGTCGGTGATAGATTGTGGAGGTGAATGGTACGGGGTTTTCTTTCCCTGAGCACTGTACTGCAGCCACCGCCGCCGCCACCGCGCAATCCACAAACCGTCCCCATTCACCCACCTCTGCTAAACTCCTTCGCCGCCTTAACCGCCACCACAGCTCTCCGCTTGTCCCCACCTGCTGCTCCATTTGGTGGTGGTGGTTTCGGAGCGAGATGTACACATCATGGATACTCGCCGGGACGGAGCCCCCACACTCCTGACGTGCCCCCACGGCCTGCCCCGGGGTCAGCTGCCGACTGTCATGTCGATGTGGGCGGGGGTCTGGACGGGAAACACAGTCACAACAAAAGATACAGCTGCTGCCGCCGCCGCAGGAGGCGGCGCTGCCGCCGGCAGCGGCAGCGGCAGCCGTTCTCAGAACAAAAGCGCCGCCGAGCGGTCATCTTCACAATCACAGCGAAAAGACTTCCGCAAGAGCCAGAAGGCAAATTTTAACCCGTACGACCCGTACGGCAATTATGGCGGTAGCGGCAAGAACAGGCAGTACGACAAGCCATATGGCGGCAGTCAGAAGGGGAGCCAGCAGCCGCTGGGCAGTCAGGCGTATTCGAATGGTGGAGGTGGAGGTGGAGGTGATGGTGGTTTCGGAGGGTCGCAGCAGCCGCAGCCGGGAACCCAATTCGCAGTTCGGCAAAGCCAGGTTCCGGAACCCTTCGCCGGTCTGTGGGGGTTTCCCCCACCAGTACCACCATCATCAGCACAACAACAACAACAACAACAACAGGAACAAGAACAGCAATGCCACCAGCATCAACAGCATTCGCAGCATGGCCAGGATCAGCGGCAGGCGGGGGGCCCAGGGGGGTCTGGAAGTGGATTGGCGCCCGGCATCGGCAGTGGCGGCGGTGGCGGCGGCGATGGCGGCAAGGACGCACTTATGACCCGCGGGTCGTTCGTGCATGTGGTCTTGGTGCTGGCAAACGACCGCGTGGGAGACGTTCAGTGCTTGGAAATCCTCCTGGAAGCTCCGACGATGGGGTTACGGGTGAGTGAGCGAGCGAGCGAGTGAGCGAGCGAGCGAGTGAGTGAACGAGCGAGTGAGTGAGCGAGCGAGTGGGTGAGTGAGCGAGGGAGTGGGTGAGTGAGCAAGGAGTGAGTTGGCGAGTGAGCGAGCGAGGGAGTGGGTGGGCATGTGAGTGAGCGAGTGAGGGAGTGGGCGAGTAAGTGAGCGAGTTGGCGAGTGAGGGAGCGAATGGGTGAGTGAGCAAGGGAGTGGGTGAGTGAGCGAGGGAGTGAGTGAGCGAGCGAGGGAGTGAGTTGGCGAGTGAGCGAGCGAGCGAGTGAGCGAGCGAGGGAGTGGGTGGGCATGTGAGTGAGCGGGTATTCGAGCCATGTCAGGATGTTTATGTTGGGTTATTATTTCTTCCACGGGTGTGTGATTCCCGCGCCTCTAATTGCGTTACGGCACGTCGTACGGCATTGCACTGTACGGCGGTGAACGCAGGTCGAAACACCGGAGCTGTCAACCGACGAGCTCAGCCTCGATGACCTCCGTCGTGCACGTCTGCCGTACATTGAGCTGGTGCAGATGCCAGCACAAGAGTACACCATCGCCGGCGTTGCACCGACGCCCTTACCGCCGATATCGCAAGGCAGCGGCATCGGCGGCGGCGTTAACAGCGGCGGCGACGGCAACAGCTCCGCTGCCGCCCCTGCTACAGCAATCCACGGTTCTAACCGCCAACCGTCGGCAGCAGCAGCGGCGGCGGCGGCGGCGGCCAACACGCTGCCCTCACTCGCGGGTGCTGTGTGGCGGCCAACCTGTCTGGGGCACATTCACATGCTGGGCCTGCCTTACCCGCCGTGTAAATCTGTACGGCAGGAGCTCGGGCAGCGGCTGGTGACGGCAATCCTCGGCGCCCGCAGCCAGGCGTACGGCACAGTGTGTGTGGGCGACCCGCACGCGGGCCACCAGGGCGACCCGTCGATGCTGGCCGCGGAGTTCGCGAATGCGGGTCGCACGTGCGACGACCTCTCGGTGGGGCGGTGGGGGGTTGGGGGGGCGGTGGGGGGTTGGGGGTGGGTGGGGGGGGACTGGAAATCGTTAACTTCATCATCATGCAAGAGTACTCATGTTCGTACTCATGTTCGTACTTGTGTGTGTTTTGTTGCTGATCTAAGTACTTGTTCGTGTTTTGGTCAGGGGTTTAGGGGGGATAGCGTTACCCAAAAGATATTAAGTAAAACAGAAGCCGCGACAGGGTATGTATGTATGCATGTATGTTTTTGTGTAGATTTGTGAGGAGCACACATCTTGTTATGTATGTATCTCTGTAATGTCCAGAGTGATTTCGACACTCGCCCAAACACACCTACGCACAACGCAGGGTTTGGCTCTGCTGCTCGCTGGCTCGCATCCCAGCAGTAGTAGCAGCAGCAACAGCAGTAGCAATCTGGCGCCGCTGCTATTGCTACGGCTGTCGTACGACGGCGACTTGCTGCTACAGCCCCTGCGGCGGCTACCGCCTGGTTCCGTCCTGCCCACCCGGCACGTCTCAGACACGGCTGCTACGGCTGCTACTGCTATAGCCGCTGTGGGTGCTGGCGGCGGCGGCGGCGGCGGCGGTAGCGCGGCGGCCGCCGCCGCCGCCACCAGGCGACCGTCGAGGACCTTAGGTTCTTGGCCGGAGGAGGAGAAGGAGGAGGAACAGCGGGATGCGTCTGAGGGGGGGGAGGCGGCCCGGGGGGGGAAGGGGGCCCCGGCTGCTGGCGGCAGCGCTATGGTAACAGGGGGAGGAGGAGGAGGTGACGGAGGTGCTGTAGCAGCGGTGGCGGCTGCGCCGGGTGTTGCCATCGAGGTGCTGGAGAGCCCGTTTTTCCTTGCGGTATGTGATAACTTAGGGTTCCAGATCGATGGTTCAATGAAAAGGAAGCAGCGCTTCTCAAAATAGCCCTAAACAAAGAGATGGGCTAGACAAAATCAAACCGACCCGTGGGTCACTGCTGCAAGAAATTAATGAAGAAGTAAACCCGTAAACTGGGGGGAGATCCTAGCAAGGGGAAGGCATCTTGGAAGGCAACAAGATTTCTGATTCGGAGCTCTCCGGTCGCAAACTCCCTCAACGTGTTGTGCCGCCGCCAGGACCTCTCCGCGCGCCTAACGCCCGCCAGCTACGAGCCCCTTCTTCGGGCCTATCGTACAGTCACCGATGCGCAATGTGCCGTCGAGCACCTGCCGGCCGCCGGCAATCTGTCGCAATTTCCCCGCTACCAGAGGAACAGCACGAAAAGTACCATCTCTCTAACCGTACATCACCAACACATGACGAGCTTGTTGCAATGGGCGACGACGGCGACAGCAACAGCAGCGGGAACGGCGCCGGCGGCGATGGCGGAGGCGAAGGCGGTCGTTAGAGCAGGAGGAGCAGGAGGAGGAAGAGGAGATGGTTGTGGTGGTGAGGAGAGGGAGGAGGAGGAGGAGGAAGGGGAGGAGCCCCGGCGGAAGCGGCCGCGGCGGCAGTTTGAGCGGGAGGCGGAGGCGGGGGAGCCCGGGGATGTCCCTGAGGGCGGCAGCGGCAGCGGCGCGGAGGACGTCAGTCTTCAGCATCAAAACGCAGGTGCCGGCGGTGGCGGCGGGAGGTGGTCGAGTGAGGAGCCCTATTGGGACGCGTTGCTGCCGCAGCTGCTGCCAGAGGGTGTTGACGGCGGCGGTAGCGCCGCCGCCGCTGCCGCCACCGCCGCCACCGCAGCCGCCGCCACCGCCGCTGCTGCCGCGGCTGGCGGCGGCCAGGAGATGCGTCCAGAGGCAATGGATGGTGTTTATGATGACGTTGACATGGCGGATGAGCCCGGGCCGCCCGTCTCCTTGCAGACGCAGGAGGCGCCGCCGCGGGAGCCCCCGACAGCAGCGGCCGCTGCTGGCAACGCGGCGGCGGCAGCAAAGCCGGGACACTTAGGCGTCAATCGATACGACATTTTGGGTACGGCTGTCGTACATCCGTTACGGCCAAAAGCAATGCCTGACTCTGTCTGGGCACTGCTGCGGGCGGCGGAAGTACCTGTCGTACCGGCGGAGCCCGTCGTTGGAGCGGAAATGGACGGTCCGCAGCAGCGAGATGTACGGCAGGGGGGCCCCTCGGGTACGGCGTCGGAGAGGAGGGGACGCAGCGGCGATGGCGACCATGCTGCCACTTCAGACGACATGGACGAGCAGATGGATGGACGAGCGGGTGGTTTGGACGAGCACGACGAGGAGCGGCGGCGAGAGGGCCCTATGGGGGTGGAGGAAGCGAAAGAGAGCTCGGGCACCGGTACGGACTCGCCGATGGAAACTGACTCATCCGACTCGTCCAAATCGTCCAAATCGTCCGAGGAGGACAAGGATGCTGATGCTCATATTACTACCACCGCTACTGCCGCTACTGCAGCAGCAAAAGCTACTGGTACTGCGGCAGCTGCTACAACTCCTCCGGAAGGGGGATCCCAGAGGCAGGAGGAGCTGGAATCTGGAGGCCGCGGCGGCGGAAACCCGGCGGCAGCGGGCCCGTCGCCGGAGATGTCGTACGCTGCTCACGTAATTCGTGATGCTGTACGACAACGTCTCATGGTCAGTAATAAGTGCGTCGGATGAAGGGAGCGAGAGAAGGGTGGGGTAATCTCCGCATGGCAGAGTACGACAGAGTACGACAGGGCCATTGTGAGGTTTTAGGTGTCTTAGGGTGTCTTAGGGTGTCTTCCCAACCTGGCTGACCCCATCTCACTTTCTCCGTGGCCAATAAAAAAGGAAACCGTTGACCGACTCGGTTTTCCTGGTTAGCTCCAACGAACCATGTTCCTATAATCCCGATTAAAGGTTTCCCTACCCCTTCCATTTTACACTCTCAAAATCCGCAGCAAAAAAACAAATTAAAAAACATCGTAAACTTTTGGAAGCCCCAATAACTTCTAAAACTCCTAGAATCCTGTATTTATGAAAACATTTCAACTCCTCGGAACTGAAAAAAACATTTGCAAAAAGTAACAATTTAAATTTTTTTAAACCGCAGAGTGCTTCGCATCCGATGCTGGTCAGTGATATCACGCAAGCGGCCGTCGACGCAGCGGAGTTTTATAAAAGGCGGCCACTGCCGGTGGGCTCCAACGTGCTGAACTTCAAGCGGGTGAATGGCGACCTGCGAGGCCCGGGTCATCGGACGTTCATGTTGGCGGCGCGAGCTCTGCGGCCGCTTGTGCTGGGCCGGATGATGACGGTGGCGGCGGCGGTGGCGGCGGCGAACCGTACGGCAGCGGCGGCGGCAAGTGCACCCGCCGCCGCGAGCCTCTGGGAGCTAGAGTACCAAGAACTTGCTCTGATGGCGCTGCACACCGGAAAGCTGGCAGCGGCGGCGAGGGCCGGCGGCGCCGGCGGCAGTAGGTGCCGTACGGCTGCGGCGGACGGGGGACCCGAAACACCGTGGCTTACCGTACGGAGCTTAGGGTATACGGTCCCTGCCGCGAACGTCAGCTCGCTGAAGGTTGACGCCGCCGTCACGCTGACGGTGCCGCCGACGACATCGTTGGCAACGGCGATGCCGCCGCCGCCGCCGCACCCCGTCCAAATGCAAGTCAAGGAACCCAGCGGCGGGCCAGGCGCGAAAGGCGCTCCGTCAGCTTCGGCGGCGGCAAATGGCTGCGGGGAGGGGCCTGTCAGCGGCGGCGAATGCAGTACAACCCGTACAACAGACCTTTCGTACTTTCACAGCCTAATCACGTATCAGCCTCAGCAAATGAGGATGGGGATCTCAGTGTTGGTTCCCGAGGCTGAGGAGAGAGGCGACGACGGCGCGGCGGCCGCGGCGGCGCCGTCGTCACTGCCGGAGCTCCCGGCGAGAACGATGAAGGAGAGGAATAGCGTCAAACGTGCCGCGGCGACGGTGGAGGCCAGCAAAGTGCTGTGCAAACGCATGGAGGCGCGTGTGCGCTCCGGGCGTCCCGTACTGGCGGAAGCTGCGGCGGCGGCGGCGGCGGCGGCTGATTCAGTGGTGATGGCGCCGATGCCGGGCTCAGTCGCGCCGGTGATGACTCCACTGGCGGCATGCATGCTCGAGGATCTCATGACGGAGTGGCCTGCGTACGACAGTACGGCAGCCGGTGGCGCTGTGGGTGCTGCCGCTGGCGCAACTCAGCCACACGTCCTTTACGCCCCTAAGCACTTGGTCAGCTGGGCGAGCGAATTGAGACCTTGGCCAGAGGAGAAGTCGGAACAAGGCAAGCCTCAGAAGCCGGCCACATCCTCGCATCCACATCACCAGCAGCAGCAGCCGCAGGTGCACGGAGGAGCGGAGGACGCCCCAAGGCGCAAGAAGATAAAATTCATCCGGCGCTATGTTACTGATGGGTTTTATGTCCCTCCGCATCAGTTGGAGAAAATGTTCATCATGGGGAAGAAAACAAAAAGGGAAGGACTCGCCCCGGGTGCGACGGGCGCGGCAGAGATGGCGATGATGGCAGCGGCAGAGGGCATGATGGCGCCACCGTCGCCCGCTCCCGGCGAGGCTTCCGGATCTGCTGACGCCGCTGAGGCCAACGGCGCTGACGCCGCCCCCGAGGTACCGTCTAGTCCAAGTGCCACCACGACGACGACGACGACGACGACGACGGAGGAGAAGGAGGACGAGGAGAAGTCCGCGGACGCAGCACAGCCGGCGGCGGCGGAGCCCCTCCTAGGCGGCTCAGCTCTGTCGATGTTGAGGGCTGCAGCTGCAGGTTCCTCGAGACAGCAGCAGCAGCAGCAGCGAGAGGAGCAGAAGCAGAAGCAGCAGGGGCAGCAACCATCACGTCCGCCGCCGTCACAGCAGGAGCCAGCTCCGGCATCACAGTCGGCCTGGCCACCGCCGCTGGCATCGCAGCCGCAGCACCGCTCGTCGTGGCCAATGGGGCTGAAAGGGGCGTCTGGCGGCGGCAACAAGACGGCGGCAAGGCCTGCACGACCGCAACAGTGCTACATGGAAGGATTTTAGCCGTCCGTCTGTGCTCTTGTTCGTCTATCTGCATGTCTGTCTGTCCAGATGTGTGTTTGTCTGTCTATCCAGATGTGTCTATAAAAGATTGAAATGGACAGCTTGACGCGTGTGTTGACCGTACGTACGGTGGCATGTGAAATAAGCATGGATTCGCGTTCTGAGCTAGCGTCACCTGGCGGCTTTGAGGAGTCGGATTTGGAGGAGAAGGGCAGATGATACGCATCGGATCGGACCTGAATACGCCGGATGTGACTAATTTCTCCCAGTTGTCGACTTGTAAGGTTTCAGAACAGCAACGCCAGGTCAGTGGTTGTGAAGGTGCGAGGATGGAGGACAAACGGTCCATTATGGTTACAAGGTTCTACGCTATGTCCTACCCTCACCCTTAATAAAGAAAAACTAACGTGAATATTCGCCAACAACTGGAGCAACGCTAAATATAACCTTTTTTCCTCTTTGCGCCGGCAACACGCCTACCTCAGCATAAAGGCTGTATATGTCAAACTTCCTGGACAAATTCTAGGATTCTAAGTTAACTATTCTAAGTGCAACTAAGTACCAATCCGCATGGCATTGCTTCCTCATTACCGCACTTCATCGCGTCTTTTTTGCTTGCTCAACAAAAAGGACACCAGTGCCAGCAAATACTGGTCACCAATTACTGGCCTGCATGTCCCAAGTCCGCAGCGTATGTCAAAGTCGGGAAGGTACAAGGTCACCAAGAAGGGGTAGTCCCTTATAATAGCAGATAGATCAATTGGGCAAATGATCCGCTAGGCCAGTTAGGCAGCAATCAAGCGAGAAGCTATATACTCATGCGCAACTATTGTTTCACTGCTAAATGACTATTTCAATCGCAAGCCGATCAACCTGTAGCAAGTGTGTCCAAAAACCAAGCGTTAAGCGGGTTAAAAACATATGTACGTGCCCGCCCAAATCGACATAAGCATTAACTAGAATGCTTCATGTAAGGACACCAGCAGAAACTTTTATGAATATAATGCACCGCGCTCCAACGCCGCGCTTAACCCCGCGGGCCCCCGTCAACAGCAAGCACAGCAGCTTCCACTACCGCGACTACTTCCAAGGACACGGCCGTCCTGTCCACTTGCCTCGAATACACAACTCCACTCAATGCTGCAAACTAGGTTTGCCCCCTCTTCCGCCACCCTAGAACATGTCTCCAATACTGAGTGCTGTCCCTCTCACTGGGAAACCATCGCACATCAGCACGTCCTTGTCTTCATTGGATCTCTTCTTCTCGCCGTAATCCGTGAATCGTGGCATTTACGTTTATAGCGAACCAGCATTCAGCTGCATGGCGCCCATCAAGCACCCATCCGACACGGCCGGTAGAGAGTTGCTTCGGGCCACATGCATGCACAGGGAGCTGCTGCTGGCGCGCTGTGCACAGAATCCAAACAAAAGCGCACAGCACCCCGTCTCCCTACCCACAAACTTGATCAAACGGGAACTATAGCACGTAGAGCGATAAAGCATGTGAAGGGAAAAGATCCCCAGACTTATGCACCCATCGTTCACGGCCATCCTCCCAACCAGAACCCTCCAGCATGCACTCCGGCACCCTCCCTACCACAGCTGCATACAGCTTTCACTGCGTTCCTTGATGTCAACCATTTCGATGCATCCCACCCCTATGTACACTATTGATACCCGATTCGCCTCGGAACCGGTATACTTGGCTTTGGGGCCATGACCCTTCCCTGGAGGCCGTTCCAGGGCTTACGCTGCATGCGCGCTCACCATCATCGCAGGACCGCCGGTATAGGCGGTGATTCCTTTGGACGTGCCCAATGTTCACTGACTTGCCGAATTTACTTGTGTTATCAGCCGCGGCCGAGCGCCAACAAGTCGGGGCTGCGCAGCTTTTGCAATGTACGCTGCGGAATGAGATCATCACCACCCCCACGGCGCAGCTGTGGGACAAGTGGATCATACGAGGCCAAGTCAATGGTAAAGCCATGAACGAAGTGAATGTGTGGGTGACATCACAACCGGTGCAGCAAGGCAGTGTGGATGCTAGAGAAGAAACACAGGCTACAAGCACAGGACACCGCCAGACAAAGGCTCAGCGACGATCAGCGCTGAGTTCCCTGATGGATTAATAGTTATGCATCTGCACAAATTAGCCGTACCCGCTGCCGCGCGCCGTTCTTCTGTCGCTGGCGCGCCGCTGCAGCCTCCTGTTCGTCCAGGCTCTGGGAGGGTGGGAAGGGAGGTGGACAGTGAATGGAGCAGGGTAAAGGAATTGAGTCTCGGCTTGCAGGAATTTTCACTGTTGTCCTTCAGCAAATAAAGCAAAGAGTTATGAGCAAAGTGAAATAAGAGAATATTACACGTAACAGCCAATTCCTGGACGTATGAGGATACGATACACTCACGGTGTTGATAGCCGCAGCACCCAGCGCCATGGCCGCGCCACTGATTAGCGAGACGCCGACGAAGCCCACGACACTGCGCATAACGCCAAGCAGCCCACCACCGCGGCGGTGCTTACCACGCCGACCCTGCTGAGGCTGTGCGCCTGTGGACCGGGAGCCGGTTTGGAGGTCTTAGCCTTAGGGTCGGGAATCGAATGGCCACACGGCAACAGCAGATTGCCAATCCGGGTTACAGAACTGACTCAGAAGCGACGCCACTGACCTAGATTTACCCATACCGAGGCCCAAATGCGTCTGTTTCGGTTGCTCTTCTATTTACGGAGTAGCCCAGAAAGGCAACGTACCTGCCGCTGGCTCCGTCTCCGCCAGACTGAGGTTGTCCCATGCAGCTGCCAGCGCGTTAAATTGCCCACTGTCCAGGGAGAGGTACACGGGTGGCGGCTGCCCGGCGGCATACCGGGTTCCCGGCCGGGGCGCCGCTACCACAGCACCGCCGGGGCCGCTGACGCCGCCGAGGCTGCCCTGTCTCCCTGGCGGCACAGCAACAGGAAAATCTCGGAGGCTACAGGGCAGCGAGGCTCGCAATGAATACGGGCCAATAAGGCTGGAGGCAGCGTCGGCATAGGCGTCGGCGGGATCGGGAGCGGCATAATGGTGGAGGTGAAGATGGAGAGGTTGAATGTGGGGATGAGGGAAGCCGTTGGCGCCGTATGGATGGGCGGCCGCGGCAGCCACCGCCGCTGCGTGGGCGGGGTGTGGGCCGTAGTGAACCGGTGGCAGCACCGCCGTCTCAGCGGCGCCGCTGCCGCGGTTGTGATGATGACGCGTCCGGACGTAACGTGGCGGCGGGGTAATAGCCAGCTCCGGCGGCGTGACGGCGGCAACCAGGGGAATGGCATCGATCTCAGCATCGGGTGCGGCAGCCTGACCCCTATCTGGCAGAGGACTTTCCATTAAGCCGGTGGGGGCGAAATGGTCGACTTGATGGCCAGGAGTGCCGAAGATATGCTCCGGGGATAGCGATGACGGAAGCGGAAGTGGAAGCTGCACGTCATCTGGCGCGACGGGGATGTCAGCGGCGCTGGCATGTTGGCGGGGCTCCGTTGCGAAATAGTTCCTGTGGGGAGGGACAAACGTGGAAGTGTAATGGAATGAGGGTTATTGCCGTTGGTACTTCCCCTCTGCCATGGCTTAGTGCGAGGGACGGATAGGCATGTGAACACTTGCACGTTTGGGACCAGAACACCACAGCTACCACTACGACCAACTCTCAGCCCCAAAGCATTACGATCCCTCTCAGTCCCTCAGCTTGCCGCAGCACAAGCAGCAACCGAAACAAAGCGAACACGCACATGGCGCCGCAAGAGTCAGCAATGTTAGAGCTCTCACCTGTTGGGAGTGACTGTATCTTGGTTGTGGATAGCAGAGCCATCCCTTGCCGGCGCCAGGCTAACGGCTGCCGCCACCTGTGTTGAGCCTCTGGGCACCAACTCCGCAGAGCCCGGGCCCCTGCCCTGCTCCGGTCGCCGCAGGGGTGTCGAGGCGGTGGAGCGGTTGGCAGCAGCGGCAGCAGCAGCTGCTACGGCTGCAGCAGCCGCCCTCTTGGCAGATCCCAGAAGGGACACGCGGTGGTCTGGGGTGCTCTCCTCACGTTCAGCGCTGTTCACCTCGTCGTCCGCCCCCTGCTGGAAGGCGCGATCCTCGTAGGTACCGCAGACCCGAAGGTTCGAGACGCCAGCATCGCAGCCTACAGCAGCAGAAAGCACCACAGCAGCAGTCGCGCCACGGACGTCAGTCACATGCATGACAAAAAACACGCCGCGTCCGAACCTACCGGCGCCGGCAATGAGCTTGGTACAGGGAGTAGCGACTGATTTAGATAACACTCCATCCTCACCTGGAGCCGCGGCAACTGCGCTCGTAGGTACGCGTTGTGGCAGTCCGCTGATGCACGAGTCTATGTTACACATCGTGTCGGCAGATGGCACTACGTCGTGCGACAGCGAGGCCCTGCACAGCCAAAGTCGGGCGGAAATGGTGGTATGAACACACAGGGAGCTGAGAAAACGCAAAAGAATCTAAAAATGAACTCGGTATACAGGGCGGGTGAAGGCCGCTGTCTAAGGCGTGGACTTAGGGTTTCAGCGGTGTAAGTCCCGTGCAAGTCGCAGTGCCCTGAAATCACGTTGCCGTAAAATACCTTTCAATCTTTTTCTCCACGAGGAGCTATTCTTAACGTCTAGAATCGGGAAACAGGTCCATATTATGCCTGACATCCCCATCACACGCACCTCAGGTCGTCTTCAGAGTCCGAGGTCCTCCGTGGCTGCACCTGCATCTGCTGCAGCAAGAGCGACGCATCATGTACGGTTTGCACCGCAGGGACAGCGTCATTGTCGGCGGCCGCGGCCGCAGCAGCTGGACCGACGTCGTACTCCCGAGCACTATTGCTGCCCGATGCACTTGCGGTGGCAGTGTCCTGTGCTGCGCCACGCTTCTCGCCGTCTTTAACGCGCTTCGGGGTTGGCACAGTGCCCACTTTCGGGGCAGTCTTGGAGGACAGGAGCTTGTCGCGTGGGGCGGGAGCCGGCGGTATCTGGGATGTTGGCCCCGCGGCGTCGGACTTGGGAGTATCCCGCTCGCCACCCTCGGCAATGGCGGATAGACCGGCGATGGACATAACCTGCGGAGAAGGAAATAGGTTTAGGGAATGAAACCGGATTTGGACAGAAGGTAGACTGTGGGATGATGGTGTGTAGTAAGGTGGTCCGCGGGGCCGGGTGAGGATGAGCAGAGGGTTTGAAGTGGCACGATCACAACCTGTACAACAACGCAAAATGGACAGGGATCTTGCCGCCGCTTGTTTGCTATTTCAGGGTGCCTTACACTTGCCGCTTTTCACTTAGCCTACTGCTAACTACATTTCAACTGTACGGATGCGAGTAGCTCTGCATCCACTGCGCAAAAGCGGACCCAGTTCGGCCTCACCAGCGACTCGTCCGTGCGCTTGTGCCGTCCAAGGAAAGGCTCCCTGCATGCAGGTGAAGGCAGGATCGGGACACAACCAAGAAAAAAACCCCGGAAGGCAGCTTGTAGGCAGGAGCGGGACGAGCGTGGCGTGCTTGGCGAACCGGCGGCATCGCAGGTGGCGGAGCTGCGGTGGTGGGGATGTGCGGATGTGACTCAGGGACTAAAGAGTACGAGTTGCTTCAGGCGCCATTCGTTGTGTACAGACGGTTATGCACGTACAATACGATTTCCTCTGTAGGCCAACTACATTGTTTGATACCATCGCGGCAGATAAACCCGTTACGTGCACTTTGAAGCGGTAACAGTAGGTAGGATTGAGCTGCAGGAACCATGAAGGTACCTGTGCCGTCTGGAAGTCACGCCCTTTACTATGACGAGGACCCAGTGTGCAGTAGATAACGCACCGGCGCTTGGTGACATTACGCGATGTGTTTGCCTTCCGAGTCCACTTAATGTTGAAGTTTCGCGGAGAGACGGGCTCCTCGGGACGGAGCTCGATGAAACGTTCGATTTGCTCGAACAATTTCTGTCCAAAAAAAAGGGGCAATGTTGTGGCATTTTTCGGCAAAGTCAACGACTCTTGGAAAAGCTCGGGAGTTGAAAGGGCAGATTCGTGCCCTATGACTCGACTAGATACCAAGGTGAAAACAATGCGCGCACCTGACTTTCAGTGACGTGGCAGGCACATTCCCGGACGGCAGCCAGCACACCCCGTCGGGCCTTCTCTACTTTTATAAGGGCCTTCCGCTGCAGACAAAGACGCATGCGTTCGAGGCAAAAATGTCAACATTAGTTGGCTTGGAAGTCAACCTGACGTTTCAAGCGAAAGTCAACCGCCATAATGCTGCTTCCGCACCTTGCTGACTGACGGTGGGGGATTCTCATTCTCCATAATGCCAGTCTCAAGCTCTTGTAAGAGAGACCTAGGGTTGCATGAGAAGCAGATATTTAGGTCGCTGATGGCGCGAAGTACTGAGGCGATTGACCAGGACATCCCTTGTAAGGAGGGCTCACCTCAACAAAGACAATGCTGCCAGTTCATCAGCTTTGTGATCCGCTCCAAGGCGATTCTTGCTCATCACATACTTGTGCTGCCTGGCTACGCCTTCCAGGAGCGACCGTGTCCGTTGCAGGGCGGATTCAGCGCCCATCACGGCGCTGGGACGAGGCGGAAGGCCAGATGGCGCAGCCTCCGTGTAGTTCGACCGTGTTCGTATGGGTAGAACGCCAAACATGGTTACAGCGCGGCGTTGAAGTCAACAAATGCTTAATGGCGGTTGAGCAGCTGACTTATTCTGTTTAGGTATCGCTATGCATGCAATTTTCATCCAAAGTATACATGCGATTCTATAAAGATCAACTACAAGGAGCGTGTGACAGCTTATTAGCAGTTCCAACTGCCCTTATTGTACGGTTGCGATCCAAGCTGAGTTCCAAACAACTACAAACACACTGTTGTGAAATGATATCCAAGTGCCATCCCAAGGCTTCCTTGATAAAGATAAGGTTGGTCGATCGTTAGAGCACGAGGAACATATGTTGGTTCGAGTTTCGGAATTTTCTCAGCAGCAAACGTAACTCGATAGTTTGCTTTCGCCTGTTTTGCTATAGCACATACTTACTGCCCAGCATGTTTATAATTTGGTTTCTGACGCTTTTCGTAATTGGGACCCTCACTAGCGGGGTGGCTGCATCGGACCATTGCAATCGGCATACACGGCCAAACGCAATGGAACGGATAAAGCAGTATGGCAACTATGACTTTACCCACAGGTCCGGATTTCAGGAGCGCATCCGTGCAAGTGTGTCCACGGTTGTATTTTAGTACTACTAGCGTAGCACATCTATGTCTTTCGGTGCATATACAGCTTCACGCGTGCGTACGTGAGGTCTTGGGGTTTTTTTTCAGATGACTTTGCGTATGCGACTTGCATGTTACCGTAACGGTGGGATTAGGGCATCATACTCAGTAGTATAGAGCGGTACGCTTCGTTTTGCTTTTTAGGATTTTGCTTTGCTGGGATCTATGCTGAGGTGCAGCGCAAATGTCCGCTGGTTAAATGTCGCACGAATCCAACGTGCCTATCACCCTGTAATAATCATCCTTCTGTTCACTCGTGTAACCCCAACCCACTCCAACATATGAGACGCCCGATACAACAGTCTAAAAAATTCCTTCCCAACGAACCTTAACCAAACGGCCCTAATCTTTCAACACTCACGACCCGCCCCCCTTCCCCTTCTACACTTAGACCATCCTTTCGCTTAAAAAAGCAAATCGGTATATTGCCCCTTCCTCCACGCTTTTCCAATCATCCTTTTCCAACCACCGCAGTATCCGCACCCGCAATAAGGAGATGGTCCAGCCGCTCTTCGATCTGGGTTTCTTGCTGGCGGCGGGCTACAACCAGCCGGAGTCGCGGCGCGCGTTCCGCCAAGCCTTAGAGTACGACAACCTATGCGCCATGTGCTGGTGGGGCGTAGCGTACGCAAGAGGTGTGCGGGGGCCGATGCCGTACGCACGTGCACACAAACTTGTTATCGTTTACCAGGAAGTAGACACTGAAATGTAGGCGGGTAGGTATTGAGAACTCATTTCAGGGCTTAATGGACCTGAGACCTGTTGTCGACATATGTGATATAATGTGTTGTATTTTGATGAGCAGGTGTCGAGTCTGACGCCCTCAAGAAGCAGCAAGTCCTCACGCCAATGCCAACGACCAATGCCAACGACCAAAGGAATTGCAGCAGCTGTGTAACGCCTCCCAAACCATCCCAACCTGCGCCATTCCTTTTTCCCCACCCCCACTCGCCCCATCGTCTGCCGCTGCTCAGCAACTTTTTTATTATCCGTTTCGCTCGTTTCTCGTATCTGCTTCCCCCCCTCGTCCGCGGTTCACGTCCGTCGTCGCCCCACTCAGCCAGCACCGTGCCGCCGCCGCCGGGCGACCCAACAACCAGCACCGCCCGCTGGGGCTGCGGAATGGCTCCGCAGTTTCGTTGGAGGCAGCAGCAGGAAAACACATCAATTTTTAAAGAACCTCTGTATTCCCCACATGCAGTTAGTGGTGCTGTGGGTAGAACAAATCCACAGCAGTTGACCCCTCTTTGCTCCCGCTGCCTCCCGCCTTAGCCGTAGCTCAATACCTCAGTCGGCAACATGCCGCCTTTTAACCAGTTCAATACCATTAAAAACCCGGACAACCGACCAAAAGCCACGGGCAACACGGGCAACACCCCACCGTCAGCCCAACAGGCAGCTCCCGGATTCTGGATCCCCTTATTCGACATCCACACCACCTCCTCCACCATATCCCTCCGCGAGGGATTACCTGCACACATCCCCACCCCTCCCAATCCCCTTGTTACCACTCCGGCGCGCCAGTACCCTTTCAGAACAAGTTCGTACGGCGGCCACCCCATGTTGACGAGTCCGCCGACGTCTCCATGTACTACAGACCCGTGGACGCGGACAAAGCGAGCAAGGCAATTCAGTACGCGGCAGCCTTGGTGGGCCTTGCGTATCTCAAAGACACAGAGCCGTTGATGACCAGCATCAAGAACCAGATGCTGGAGAAGCCATCGATGCCTGTGACAGATCGACTGATGAACAAGCTGCCGCGCTGTAGCGCTGTGAGCACGACGACGACGACGCAGCAGCAGCAGCAGAGCCCTTTGAATGAGACGGCACTGCTCGAGCGGGAGAGGTACTACATCGCGGCTATGTTTGATCGGCTGAGTGTGGGTATCGACATGTCGGACCCTGCGGGGGGCGTGAGGTTGTGGCAGGAAGCGGAGAGGCGCTACGTGGCGGACATGACAGTGAGTGGGCCGAGGAAAAGGGGAGGGGGTGGTGAAGGAGGGGCAGGAGGACTTGGGCGGCCTGGGGCAGGGAGGGAAGGGAGGGGCTAGGGGGCAGGGGGAAAGTCGAAGTTGCGGGGTGGTGGGAGAGGGGTTAGGGGTTAGGGCCAGGGAGGGGCTCATGGAGGGGATTTTGGAAGGGGCAGGAGAGGGGCAGGAGAGGGGGCAGGAGCCACAGAGGGAGCGTGGGTGATGTGCGGCTTATTGTCAAGAGGGACCGTGGGGGCCTACGTTAGGTGATGTTGTTGAGGGCCACGAGTGCGAGATGGAGGGGCCACGAGGGGGGGGTCGTGGGGGAGAGGGACTTCAGCTGTGCGTGTGGCTAAGAAGGGGGGCCGTGGGAATGTTAGGGGGGACGGTGAAGTGCGTGTGTGAGGATGTCGTTGTGAGCGGAATGAGATATTGTTGAGGGGAAAACACACAGTACATCTTTAGAGAGTAATTGCAGCTGTGTAGGTGTAAGATACACACATATAATAGGAGGTGAGAGCGAATGCACCAACGAAAGAAATCCAGAACTCCCCTTTCCTTCTGGATAACTTGGATAAGAGACCTTCAACCTGTATGTAGTACTCCTGTACTACCTGTATCCTCCCACATACTCCTGTTTTGTCTGTCTGTCTGTCTCTCTGATTGCCTATCCGTTGTCGTTTGTCGCCCTGATTTGTTGTCCTGAAATCTGTATGTAGAAACCTGCATGTATGTATGTATGTATGTGTATGTGTATGATGTTGTTACAGGGTGGTTAAGCTTCACCAGCGGCCCTCTTTCCCGAGGCAGTTCCCTGCTCTCCCCTGCGAGAGGGGCACCCTAATCCATTCACCCCATCCGACTTCAGAGTGTATTCGTTGTGTTTACTCACCACCAGCATCCAACCAAATCTAGCGGATCAACGGCGCCTCAACTTAGTTCCTGGTCAGCTCGCAAGTTGGTATTATCACGTCCTACACCGTCCACAAGATGGGGGGCCACCTCCCAATTCAACACTCCTCAAACACCCGAGGAGTCGGCAGGCGAATTTGAACCCGGACACTCCAGGAGCAGAAATCAGGCCTTATCCTCTGCCAGCCGCCTGCCATGCATGTATATGTGAGTATATGTATGTCTGTATGTATGTTTGTATGTGTCTGTGCTCCTCTCACAGGAGATAGCGAACTGCTTCCCGGACGATGCGGACGCGCCCGCCCTGGCCGCCGAGGCCCTGGCCAACCTCAGTCCCTGGATGTTCGTACTGAACGGCACAAGTGAGTGGCGAGTGCTGTATGTCCTGTGTGCGCTGTACGGGGATGGAGCAGCACAGCGAGGTGTGTGTGTGTGTATAATTGTATGCAACAAGGGGGTTGGAGGCTTGCAAAAGAGTGGAAAGGTGGATGTCATTATTGCGGTAAGGCACTGCCAACTAGGAGGCAACTCCCCGCTGCCATCTAGAGTGGTTGGGCGCTACCAGTGTGCAATTACTGTGCGGAATTACCGTACCCAACGCGGGTGGGAAGTGGGAATGCTAACCCATGTGTCAGCCCCCATGTAATCACCCCCCTGCGCACAGCGCCATCACCTCGGGTACTCGGGAAGCCATGACCACCAACCCCATACACATGCAGACAGACAGACAGGCCCCGTAGGAAGTGAATCGCACCGTCCCCACCCGCGTCGTCTCCCGTACGCGCACGCACACACACACACACATACACACACACGTTTCCAGCAGTCAAAAACACCCTTTCCCCCCGCCCCACTTTAAGCCTTTCCCCTTTTGTCCCCCCTTTGTTGTTATGTGGCATTTGGCAGTTGCTGAGGACCAGCCCACCGAGCTCGCCAAGAACGCCACCCGGTTGCTGCAGGTTGCGCTTGAACGCAACCCCGCCCAGCCACTAGCCATGCACCTCCTGGTGGGTCCGGGCGGGTGTTTAGGAGGCTGGGTGGGGGCCGTCGGCAGTATCACATCATGATTCCCATACCCTACTAACACACACATAGATAGATAGACAGACAGACAGACAGACAGACATGAACTCTCTCACTGACCAGTCCCCTTACGCAACCCTGACCGTGTGTACGACAGATCCACGTGACGGAGGAGCTGCCTGCACGGAACGCGGCCAACGACACAGGTATACCTCACGAGCATTCCGCTCCACTGCGCTTTCGTTATTTCGTTGTTGCTGTTATATGATCATATTTATATGATCATATAACATTATATCAACAGCTTTGTGAACCAACACAGCATTTAATGATTAAAAACACGTTGTCGCTTCGCATTCTGCAACAGCTACCCCAAAGCATTGTAGTGCGGGTCCGCTGAGCATAATAAGCAAGAATATCCAAATCAAACCGCAATTGAATTATTATTTAATTATTATACTTGATATTATTATTATTACTAATACATTTGTTATTATTATACTATCATTTGTTATTATCACCATCATCATCATCACGTCTTATTGCTCTATTGTGTTGTTGTTGTCGTAGACTACGTTGCCGGTCTGGCTCTGGACAGCGCCAACCGGCTGCTAAACAAGTTCCCCACCCTGGACCACCTGCAGCATATGCCCTCACACACCTTTGTGAGGGTGGGCATGTGGAGGAAGGCGATTGAGGTGGGGGTTGGGAGGGGCTGGCGGGGTGGGGGGAAGGGGAGGGGAGGGGAGGGGTTGGGGTAATGAAAGAATTTCGGGGTGTGTGTGTGTAAGGAAGAGAACGTGTGTAGTCGAATGATGCCAGAAGCCAACGGGGTGACGTAGTGCGTGAGGAAATGAGATCGCGTGGTTCGCTTACTTTGCGCTGTGTGACTAGGGTGGTCTCTCAACGTGAGAGGAAAGAAAACCCCTGCGGTGAGGAAGCTATGGTTATTTGCACCCTCGGCTACCCTTGCTATGGAACCGAAGCGCCATTCCCCTCTTGTCCCCCTCCCCCCTCCCTTGCCCCCTCCCCCGGCGCCCATCTCTGACCCTCGCGGCCTATATATGGACGATTTTATCTATTAATTTGACCCGACGGCAATATGGTACGACGACT